AATATGTAATCAGTACCAGGAAAGTTGTGGAGTCAAACTGGAGTGAATTAGTCACTGCTGTGGGTTCAGCTGAGTCCTCTCCATCCCTACCAAGCCCAGTATGAAGGAAGCCTAGCCCCTCATATGTCTGCATCAAGAGATGAAATCGTAAGGAACTAGCTTATATTAAGAGTAAGGCTTATACAAAAGACCGTGGCCGTGCTTAAAAAGGAAGCGAGAACGCAAAACTGGGCCTGGCTTCTAGCTTCCAGATGGAATCAATAAAATCTGTTGCCAGTGGGTCCAGTCAGTGGCACTTTGTTACACAGCAAAACTGACTAAGACAGTTTTCCCCTCTGCAGAGGAGTGTAGAGAAGGCTGGATTAAGCCTGTTTCACAGATGCAAAGTTCAGCAGAACAAGAGGTTTCATAGCCCCACCACCTCTGCTCTTGAAGTCTGACTGCTTAGCTTACACAATTTCTCAGTTTCTACCCATTCTGCCATTGTCATACCTACCTATGCTGTTTTTCTTGGAATACCCCAAAGGAGACCCAGCAGCCAGATAGACTTTAACCTGACCCTCAGGTAAGGCTTTCCTCTCTTTTGTTTTCTTCTGCACATCAGTGCAATCAAGGCTTCACTTGTTTTTGTTTCTCTTACACTGTGAGGCAAGTAGGGGAGAGAAGAAAGGAAGCCCCTCCATAGTGACAAGTGGGAAGACTGATGGGTCCCTTCTGGGATACATAATAGTGACATAGTGTCAAGTTCTGCAGATGAATAATTCAGAAAGGAGAAGAATGTCTGTGTGTGCACAAATATGCCTCTGTTAACTGAATGAATCTCCCTGTCTGTCCTTTCTGTTGCCCATCAAGATTCCTCCCCGCCAGAGGTGGACATGAAGTCCCACCCCTGACTAAGGCACCATAGCTTCTGGGAAAGAGATAGGCAGTTATCATTAAGAGTAGGACCTCTGGTTGGTCAACCATGCTTCAGGGGATGGCCCTATGCCCAAGTGGATGTGAGCAACACACATCAGACTCAGTGGGTTTAAAAAGAAAATAAAATGAGGACAGGAAATTGAGTGAGTAGGGAGATAGAGGTGGGTCTGGGAGAAGATGAATGGTGAATACGTATGCAACTCTCAAAGAATTAATAAAAATGTTGTTTTAAATAAACAGGATTGAAAACAAAAAGATTCTTCCCCAGAGTATCCTACCTCCTCCAGCAGTAGACATCATCTGCCACTGCCCTCGGAGCATTTCCCTTCCCCCTGGGCCTACATAGCCCAGTGAATGAGCAAACAGTGGAGAACAAATAGCAGGAGAGGCATGATCACACGCTTAGTCTCATCCTTCAGGTAATCCTAGCCTACTCAGGAATACAAAGTTCTTGTAGATGAAGTCAGCCACTACATAGCCCACTTATCCTGAAATGATAATGGTCACTGTGCTAATAATTACCCATTGAGTACTTTCTATTTACCAGCTATGGTATTCTGCATTCTAAAGGCATAGTTTCTTCTGAGCCCCAGAATGACCCTATTATGTATGCAAAATTATCTCCATCTTACAAATCAGGACAGTGACTCTTGAATGAACATGCCTAAAGTCTGGCCAATCCACTACCCAAGAGTGGGTGATAGGAGTGCTCTAGAATGGGTCAGGGACTCATTCCCCACTTGTAAGACCCTTGAATGATTCTGAAAAATAAATGAAACAAAAATCCTTTAAACTTTAATTTTTACATGCAATTATGGGCTCTTTACTAGCAATCTGGTAATTGTGTTATTAAGAGTAACTATAGTGTGGTTTTCATAAGCTAAAATTAGGTCATTGCTAGTTTTTCACATACTCCAATTCAATATTTGATGGAACAGCAGGAGGCTGGGTAATGTTGTGTTGGTTCCCTGGTCCCTGAGCATGCACAGAGTTGGCAAACCCTCAATTTCCTAACTCTTCATTACCAAGTGTCATTTCCATTGTCTTGAATTGACAAGTAATTTCTATCACTGTTTTCCTGCTCTTGAATGATAGCTTGCTGTTATTTCAGTTCTGTCACTACTATTTAATTTGTTATGGACTCTCTGGATAACCCCATTGCAGGTGGTGAGGTGTACATAATGTTTGTTTATTCCCCGAGAATTAAACTGAAAAAAAAATTACATATACCATGTTAGGTGAAGACAAATTAGTTGGCCTGTAGTTAACCATTATTTTACCTTAGGTTAAACTACATGTATCTGACTATATTTCACTATTTTTGATCCAGAACAATGCCAGTTTTATAGCTCTCAGTCTAATAATGCCAAAGTAAATTATTCATACCTTATTTGGGAGAAATTATAAGTATAATTTCCCTCTGAATGCGCTCATACACTGACACTTAACTGGTGATATTCTGCCTGTGAATTCACGCTCTCAGTAATTTGCCACATACCACTAGCAAGTAACTGCAAGATAATTGCAAAGTTATTTTAAGTTTGCATATGTTTTTCTGGAATTCACAAGTCTTGGCTGTCAGTTCATGTTATTCCCTTGTAAGTCACTTCCCTGCATTCTCTTATTCTTTCTCACCCAGTAGTGGGTGGTAAATAATGGTCACTGGGACTTTATGTGCAACCTAAGTATACCTGTGCCAAAGAAGATTCAACAGCAGGACTTTAAGACCTGCAGGGGGTTTTCATGTCCCACTAATAAGGTGAATTTTGGACTGTGATTCAGGCTAGCTCCACAGATGGAGGATGGGATCTATATGTAATGTATTCTGTCCATTACACATGTATGGCTTCCTGGACAAGACTCCTAAAGCTTTATTGACAAGGTATTAAGGAAGTTAGACACTAGCATTTAATGAGCTCCTACTATATATCATTTTCTTGGTTGGGTCAAATCTTATTTAATATCATCACAAACCCTTGGTACAGTCAATTCATATAGGTAAAGAGATTGGGTCATAGGCATGGGCACTATTTCAGTATTGTAAACCCAAAAGGTAGATGGTAAAAATGCAAAGTTTAAAACCCATGTGATCATTCACTACACTACCTCCCCTCTCCTCTTTGTTCAATTAATCATCTAATCTTATAGGCTCCAAGAGATTCATATAAAGTCCCTCACAGAAGGTGGAAGGGACAAGTCCCCCAGAGCACATGGGAAGTGGGGGGGGGGCAGTGAATGGAGAAAGAGAAGGGGAGGAGAGGAAAGCACGTGTAACTAGGGAGATTGAGCCAGGGTAGGAATAGAAGATAGGAGAGAGAGAGAGAGAGAGAGAGAGAGAGAGAGAGAGAGAGAGAGAACATAAAAGAGGGAGCCATTATTGGTTTGAAGAGAAAACTGAACCTAAAGAAAAGTCTAGAGACCTACAAGACTGCCGCCAACTAACAATTTGAGCAACTGTGGAAAGGCTACCATAAATGCCCTTCCTGGATAGTGAGATCAATAACTAACTTATCCACCATCATGGAGCCCTCATCTAGTACCTGTTGGAAACAGAAGCAAACACACATACCTAAACACTGAGTCGAACTAGAATCCAGATGCAGAGGGAGAGGACAAGACCAGGTTGCAGAAACATGTAGAGACAGCTGACCTGAACAAGGTGGAGCTAATGGGCCCCCAGACTGATAGCTGGGAATGCAGCATGGGACTGACTCAGACCCCCTGAATATGGGTCTCAGCTAGAAGGCCTGAGCAGTCTAAGGGACCTCAGATAGTGGAACCAGGATGTATTCCTGGTGCACAAAAGGACACATCCTTGGGGGATGTGGACACATCCCCCAAGGAGGGATACTCCCTTAACCTAGAGACAGGAGAGAAGCCCCAGTCCCTACTTCAAATGAATTGACAGATTTACATGACCCCACCTGGATGGCATTGCCCTACATGTGGAATTGGGGTGGGGGGGACGGGAGGGGAGGGTGGTCAGGGCGCATGTGATGGGGGAGAGAGGGTAAGGAGGAGGGAGGGAGGGAGGGAGGAAAGGATGGAGGGAGAGGGAACTAGGATCGACATGTAAAATAAAAAATAATAATAATAAAATGGTTCTACTTATAAAACAGCCACTATCTCTCCTGAGGGCAGATGTGGCGGCCTCCAGCCTCCACCAGTCTACATGCATTCTCACCTTCATCAGGACAACTACTTATTCCAGAAGCACTATCCTATCTACAGTTATGATCAGGGCACATCCTACACACACACACACACACACACACACACACACACACACACACACACAAACACACACATTGCAGTGGTTGTCAAAACCACAAACAAACAAAACAAAACCAATGAAAAGAAAACAGCTTAATTTGACTTTCCAATCTGCCTTTCTAGCCATTTTTCCCAATACTTAACTATTGGGGAACTCCCCAATCCCAACCCCACTAAATCCTCCAAGCCACTTCTGATAGGAATATTCCCATACCCTATGACTTCACAAGTTAGTTCCAGGGTTTCTGTGTTGCACTTGCTATTCAGGGCAGCTGCAGATACTCAAAAACATTACCTGCCATTTTTCCATATCATAAATTCTTCTTCCTTCAAGACTGATTCAAATGTCACCACTAGAGAAATGTCCTCCCAGGTTGTCAGAGTTATGGTGCTTTCCCTTTAGGGCCACAGACTTCATACACATTTTTAATTGAGTGGTGTCTGTTGAATGATAGCTGGTTGTTGAAATGTCTAATCCATCTTTCTCACTTGATAATGAGCCTCTAGAGGATAAAGATCATGGTATATTTATCTTTGGATTGCCAGCATTCAGAAGAGTGCCTGGCACAAGGTTAATGCTCAACAAATGTTCATTAAAGGGACAAATGCCCTCATAGTCTCTGGTTCACACAAGAACACACAGAGGTGCTAATTCAATACACCAAGTTGAATGTAACCAGGAAGTAGGGATGTTGAATTTTGGTTGAGGCTTGTCTACCCTGGGGTTCTATGACAGAGAGAACAGAGATCTGAAAGTGGATGCCTCAAAATGTTCTGGTACTAATCATTATTCTTTTTCTCACCAGAAAGAACAGATTCCAGACATCTCTGTAGAGACAGTCATGGCACACAACCTAGAACCTCCAACAGAGACCTCTGTGGTCAAGTTCAAGAATCAAGACTTTAGGACATTACAGGATCGGTGCCTGAGCAGGGGTCAACTGTTTATAGATGACACATTCCCTGCTGAGGCATCTTCCATAGGTCAGAAGCTGCTCAAGGGAAAACACCTTTCAAAACTGGAGTGGAAGCGACCACAGGTGAGTAAGCCCTGTCTGGAAGCTGTGGGCCTTGGTATCTCCTACTGAAAAGAGGGTGGTTCAGCCACAAACAAAACTGGAAAGAAAATAAATTCAACTGGTTTGTCTGCTGCAGTCTTTTGTCCAGTCCAAGGAATGTGAAGGCTCTGTGCTCAGATCCAGAGCCTGAACACTGCTTCTAACTCAGTTCTAATAATGACCTCATCAGCAGATTAAAACATCTCAGTCCTATGACTAGAAAAATGGCATGTCATGGATTGGGAGGCTGTGCTAGTTGGTCCCTGGGGTCTCTCCACCTCTTTAATTGAGCCCATCTATCAGTCTGTCACCCTTTATTCTCTTCGGGTGTCGGTGTCTTTATGCTCCTTTCTTCTTGCCTACTAGAATTTACTCAAAAGGAATATATCGTGTCAGTCATTTATACTATAGGATGAATTTAAATAATTGCTTTGCATCTCTTTTATAATCACATTCTCAGTCTAGTGAAAGGACTTCAGATATCTCCTGTGACATCAGAGTGGTAGTGCAGGATAGCATTCAAATCACCCTGACTCCTCCACCTCAGCAGACAGCCACTAACTGTACCTTGCAATGGGTGAACCCCGCTGGTTTCGAGAACTATCTCAATTTTGGAGCATGAAGCTCTGTGGGAAACATTTCAGTAGGTTGAAGTTTCTCATGACCTCATTGGGACCCTCATAGAGCTAGACAGGAAATGCTTTGGGATGCCTGATGCTTCCTCCTCGTATGTTCAACTCTGCCAGTGCAGTCTGAAACAAGAAACAGTACAAAGTCTGTCAGTGGATTATGAGTACAGCTCTCAAGCACTGCTTACACACCAAGCCCTGTACTGGGCATGCTGGATGACACCAGACTAGCCTCTGGTGATGATAGAAAGAGGTTGGGAAACCTGAGAGGTGCTACAGTGTCTCTCTTGTCCAAGGCTATGTAACTTAGTTCTGCACATGAGAAAGAGAACTCAAGACACTGAACTCTGAAGAGAAAACTTCTTGCCCAAGCCTGACCAGTTATATCTCTGGGGAAGGAAAGGGTCAGTGGAAATCAGGTGGGGTTTCAATGCTAGTTCAAGAAAGCTGGATGCATTAGTAAGTCTTGTGTGGTTGATTCCATCAGTCCTTGTCAGCAGGTCCTCCTTAGTTATGCTTCTTCTTTTGTCTTTACTGCCTAAGGAGGTAGACAACTCTAAAGAAATTCTGAAGGGTCATTTTTCCTCCTCTGTTGTTTTGAAAGGTTGAGGTTCATTTAGAAAGTATTTTTGTTTCCCTCACAAAGTGCTGAGCAGTCTATGAGAGACATGGTAATGTTGAAAACTTAATAGCATTCCTATTTAGAAAGGTGGACAGTGCTTAATTATAAATTCCCATCAACATCTCAACTTGTGTTGTCTGTGGGGAGCAAGGAGAAACTGAGGCAAGTAGAAATTATTCATACAGAATCAGACAAGAAATCCAAGAGCAAGGCATTTAAAAGCCATATTCATTTTCCTATCATGCCTCACACCCAAGGACTTACCCATATTCTACTAATGGTCATTGATTATTTCATCATATATTCTCAAATATCATATTTCTTAATGTGTCCCTTTCCAAGTTTAGCAATGCTTGTATTTATATACTACTTTCAAAAGTTTTCCATGTAGCTTAGCACTAGGGAGGCAGAAGCAGGTGCTCTCTGTGAGTTCAAAGCCAGCCTGGTCTACAGAGTAAATTCCAGGAAAGGCTCCAAAGCTACAAAGAAATACTGTAAGAAACAGAGAGAAAGAGAAAGAGAGAGAGAGAGGGGCTCAGACAGATGTTATGCTTAACTTGGAGATGACAGATGACAGGGTCAGGGAGAGAAGGGCCCAGGAGTTAAATCAAGACTTCCCAAGGCTACATGCTATACTTTTACCAATATGAACTTGCATGCCTAATAAGGGTTTGTTAGGATTTGGAAGAATAAATAATGAGTGGGAGACTGTCTACAAATGACTTGTTCAGTTTTCAAGCTCATATGTACAAGAAAGAAACATCTTGTTGACCAATTTCCCACATAGGCCAGCAAAGAGAAAACTGTGCACATACCTCTCCACTGCAGTGGCATCTCTGACTACTGTAGCTTTACTACGCAGAGTATTGGAAAAAAAAAAAGCCACAACCAACCTGGCCCAGGCCTCATAATATATATATAAGGTCAAGATGCATATAGTGTCATGGCTTTAAGCTCTTTGAATGAGCTGTAAACTACCATGAGGAACTATCATGAATCCCATTCTGCAGATAGAAACAGAAACAGTGTAGAATTATCAGTTTGAAGTCACACAGCTAGACAATCCAAGACATAAATGCCTGACCTCACAATATATTGTCCCCTATAAGGTTTCATGGTGAACTCATGTTATATTCTTCCTGGCTGTTAGATGTCACAGATAATCCATGCACCATTAGACTTTCCAACCTCATACTGTTAACCAGGAACCAACTTTCCATAAAATCAACCCCTCTGTTCTTAGACACTCTCTTTGTTCCATTTCATAGATGAAAAGTAATAGGGATGAAAACTGGACCTGTACTATACTCCATATGATTATTTTAAGGAGGAACTGAATGCAATGCTTAGTATCCAGCACATTATAAGTACTTACTACACACTAGCTATTGCTTCTTTGATCCCTCAATGTTCTTGGGCTTTCACAGTCAGAGAATTTCAGTTTCAACCCTCAGACAAAATCAGCAAATGTTTCCAAGGAAAAGTGTAGGTCAGAGAAAACTGTGAGGGGCTAAGTGGCTGTTGGGAAGGGATGTACAAAGTACATTTCTTCCAATGTTCTATATCCTATCTCTGCTTTCACAGTCAAGCCTCCCCCACATACAGCTTGCTTGGTACTTCTCCATGGGTCTGGTTGGATCACCTGCTCCAAGGCTCCACAGCCCATCTCCATATTCTAGCCAGTTCTAGACAGTGGAGAAACTCCATACTCTAGGCAACTACTAAGCCAACAAGGATATTAGTCTTCCTGGAGTATCTGTCCCAGGTCAGTAGATTCAACAATAACCTACAAGTCAGGGACCTAAGACCAAGGCTCAGTTTTCTGGGTCTATCACAGAAAATTGTTTCATGTCGTGTAACTCTTTTTCTAAGGGTATTGCCCATCATGGCTAGGAAGGCATGGCAACAGGAACAGAAGGTGGCTAATTGTGCTGTGTCCACAGACAGGAAGCAGAGGTGATGTTGATGTTTAGAAACCTTTCCTCTTTGTATTTAGTTCAGAACCCTAGCCCATGCAATGGCTCCATTCATGTTGCAAATGGGTCTTCCTACTTGAATTTACATAATCTAGAAAATCCCTCATAGATATGCCCACAGGTTTGTTTCCCAGGTGGTTCTAAATACCACCAGGTTGAGAGTTGGGACTAACCACACACTTGCATTTCTTCTTTCCTCTTCTTCCCTCTAACAACTAATCCAGTGGGTTTTTCTGCTGGAATGTTGTTGAATGTTTCTCACAGCCTGGCACATCCTGTTTCTCTTGAAGGAATGCTCAACCCTGCTTCTCACTTGGGCTTGGGCTATGCAGTAGCCTGTGACCTTGTAGGGAGGGAACTTGAGGATTCATCATTCTTAAATGTTTCCTATAACCTCTGCTCTCAGTAAGAGATAATGCCAAGAATTAAACATGTGGTGTGTGTGTAATGCATGCTCTAAATTAAACTTTGTACTTAGATGGCTCCCTTTTAGGAAAATTTTTATTCTGGGATAATAGTAATACATCCCACTTACTGAGTATGTACATAGTTGAGGTATTATACTAAGTGCTTACATGCAATTTGTCATTAAATTGCCCTCACCGTCCTGTAAAGTGGATGATAATATTATGCTAACTAAATAGATCAGCAGTTTCCTGTAGCCTTTTCAGCAACAATGGAGGTGTTCACTCTGCTCCATTCACTGCCATGGGTAAGAGTCAAATGTGTCTACTGAGAACTTGAAATGTGATCATTGTACCTAGGAGATGGAAATTTTAATGTTGTTTGTCTAAATCAGTGGTTCTTGACCTTCTAATACTACAACCTTTTAATACAGTTCCTCATGTTGTGGTGACCCCCACCATTAAATTACTTCATTGCTACTGTATCATCTGTAATTTTGCTACTATTATGAATCATAATGTAAATATCTGATGTGCAAGATATCTGATGTGAGACCCCCAAAGGGCTTTCAACCCAAAGGTTAATAACTGCTGGTCTAAATCAACATGTATAACTATAGCTATCACAGTGGACAGCGCAAAGCTGAAGATGGTAGATCATCACCTTGTCACCAATGTGCATGACTGAGGAATTGAAATGTCATTTTTGACCCTGTTCAGGAAAAAAATAATCCACTTCTCTGCCAAAGAATGAGACCATGTGTCTGAAGCATGTTCTACAGCAGATTCTTGGAGTTCAGTTCCCAGCTTCCTTGTGGACCCAGTCTACTCTGGAGCAATGAATTTGCCTGACCAGGAAATATTTTCACGTAGTCTGAATAGTTTTGATGGGATCATTCATTCACTAGAAGTGACTCCCCAAAATGTATTGTTCATAAAAAGAAGAGGGGGGAAAAGGAGGTGGGGATCTGAATGTTGGGTAAATAGTAAAGATGTTCCATCATGTAACAGTTAACAGAAGGTACTGGAAGTAACTGTGCCAACAGACAATTGCCATGAAGCCAAAAAATCTTTGATGACAACACATCAGAATTCTCTCAGAAAAACAGGAAAAGAATTATATTGCCACCTGTCCAAGCAAAAGCCTAGTCACCATCTGGAAGGGCTGAGTGACAAGATGATGAGTCTAATTGTTACCTACTGAAAATGAAATGTTCCCACGGGGCTGGGTCTTAGTCTCAAGCTTATGGCAGCATTTTGGATGGTTCTAGAAACATTTGGAAGTGAGGAAGTAGGTAGAAGGAAGTAGATCAATGAAGGGCATGCCTCTGAAACTTATACCTATTCTCCA